CCCCGCCTGAGGGGTGAGGGCAGCAAGGGCCGGGTCAGGAAGCCCTAGGCCTCGACGCCCCACTGTGTCTTGAGCCAGATTTGGGGTGTGGAGTCCGCTGTGGCCGGGTGGGGGCTTCCGTCTGAGTCTGCGGTGGAAGAAGCATCCCTGGGGTCCGCCGTCCAAATGAAGTGTGGGGACCTCCGGGCCCTCCTCCCCTGGGCTCCGGTCTGATTGAAAATCCGGGAGGGTGTGGAAGCCGGCCGCCTGTCCCTGCTCCCCCTGCAGCAGCCCGTTCCTCCCCAGGGCGCCCCTGCTGAGGGGCCGGGGAGGAGGCCCCTCCGTGGGCTGAGCCGGCACCTGCGTCCCCTCCCGGCCTGGGACAGAGTCAGTACTGTGTGTTGTAGCCCTGGAAATGGAGACCGACTCTCATGTCTTTGGGGATATGTTCATGGGATCCCAGAGCCCCCCACCCCCCACCCCCTTTTCCGGTGCAGCTCAAGTCCCAGAGCATTAAGAGCTCTGTCCCCAAGCTGAATTGTGTTCTTTTAATATTCTTGGCCTGCATTTGGTACCTGCTCCCTGGGCCCTGCGTTCAGAAGAAATGGGGGGAGAGCAGGGCCCAGGGGTGACCAGAAGACCTTTGCAAAGAAGACACCTGGGTGCCTGTCCAGATGATTATCACAACGGTCACCTGCAGAGGCTGGCCTTGTGCCGTGTGCTCTGCCTGTGAGACACTCCTGTTATCTGTGCCCCTGGCCCATGGAAGAGAAGGGCTGCCCCTGGGGCCTGGGCACTCTCTCTGGCACCACCACTGCTCTCCAGGGGCCTCTGGGCAGGAGAGTGGCTGCTGGGCAGCCTCTCAGTCAGGAGGCTGAGGTCCCCCCGGGACCACATGTCCACCACTGGACAGATGGGCACACTGAGGCCAGAAGGCCAAGAGACACGGCTCACCAGCTCTTCCACCAGCTCTGCACCAGTGGGTGCAGCCTTCCTGCAGCGGCCTGGTGCTTGGACCCTCTCTGTGGGGGGGAGTGGGGCCCACGGTTGGCTCGTTCGCTCAGGGCTCCCACCGGTGCGAGCTTTCCGTGGGCCTTGCCATCATCCCCAAAGGGGGGGGCCTCTTTACAGGGTGGGGACCTGGGGGTGGGGCGGGAGGGGGCTTCCTAGAAGCGCGGCTGCGAGCTGGCACCAGGGCTGGCCTTGAGGCCCCACGCGCCCGGGCTGGCGCTGCTGCGATGGCCGGAGGTGTGTGTGGTGGAGGATTGTGAAGGTCAGCGGAAGAGAGAGGGCGGGACCGGTCAGTGGGATTTGGGGTGCAGGGAAGACAGGCATCGCATCGGCTACTTGTTTCTCATATACAGTTTAAAAACCCAAGGCCCCCGAGAGGAAGGACACGTCCGAATTTCCCAGTGACTTAGAGGCAGAGGTGGGTCAGAAACAGAGCCCGCTGACTAGGACCGACTACCATTTTGGGGTATGCGTGAACACGTAGAGCTTCTTGTGTAAAAGTTAGGAATTTCAGGGCAGCCAAATTAGAGCATGAAACCAAGCGCACACGCCCATGAGGCCATGACAGTCCTGCCCCAGGCCAGAGCTGTTTCCCCAGCACCTTCCTTCTACACCTTGCTCCTTCCTGCTGTCCTGTGGGGGGAGGGGGAGGTCATTACCCCACCGTACGGAGACGGGGAGACAGTCTGCAGCCTGCGGGGACCAGTGACGATGCCATAGGACCTCGCCTGCGCAGGTCCCACACCCTCAGGGGAAGTCTGTTGATAATGGCCACATGCTGAGGAAAGAGGAACCAGAAATGCTGTCAGAGGAAGGCCTGTGTGAGTTCACAGTAGGAGCCTGGGGAATCCAGGGTGGCTGTCTGGAGAAGGTGACATCTACGTGTGGCTTTGCAGGGGTCCCTGATCAGGTGAGAGAGGAGGGGCAGTGTGGGGTTGCTGAGGGTGTCCAGGCTAAGCCCACCCGGCCGCCTCCATTCCCCACGGACTGCCCCTTGTGCACCCGTCTCCACCTGCCCCTGCAAGTCCGCACGGATGGCCAGGGCTCACGTCGCCATTGGTGGAGAAGACAGG